ATAATTTCATATTTTTATTTATTTTAACAATGTTTATATAATGTACATAATATGGATGAGTGTGTACTTAATTTAAAAACGAAAAAAATAAATTATTTTATATTTTTTGTAGGAAACGGTAAAATGATAAAAGCAATAAAGCATAATGATAATGAAATTATTAACAACGAAATTTGGGAATTCCGGAATTTTTCCGTTCTATTGAATAAAGCGGAAAACTGCTTAAAGCGGAATTTTTTGATGGTCCCATGTGATTCCGCTTTAGACAGTTTTCACTGTATTATATTTTAGATATTAAATGTTATCTGTTAGTTATAGTGATAACGGAGAATTGATAATAATGTGCATGGATCAGGGTGGTTTTGATCCGCTCGTCTACTATCGCCTGAGTGCCTGACGCCTTGCGGCTGGGGGTCAAGACATTAGACAGTGATAGACGGCTCACGACTCAGTCTGCGTGCGCGGAAGGTTCTTTCTTAAAAACTGAACAGAGTATATTATAAATTATAATATCGTATAATTTAATACATTGTTCCATATTATAATATACACTATATATAATATGTAGTTAATATGAAAGATTTCGGGTGCAGATTTATACCAAAAAATTGGTACACTGAATTATAATTATAAGTACATTTTACGTTTATCGGTTTCCCCCATGTACTCCCATGTATGGACCAATTTTACAAAATTATTTACGTAGTACGTACATTATGTGCTGCAGACCTGCAGTGCCGTGACCTTCTAAATGGTACTATTGCAATTATTTGGTGGACCAGATATTCAACATAGTATTTATGTATATAAATGTATATTATAGGTTTACCGTTTACACATAGGTAACATACTACATATTAGGCTACATGCCTACATGTGTATGTTTAATCTATGGCTAGGTTAAATATTTTGTTAACTGTATACAAAAATTGATACCAATGTAAATGTATGTAAACAATGTAATTCAACCATTGTAAACTATTTAATTAACGTTGTTAAAGATTCTTAACTCTTAAAGGTTAACAATCTTTTTTTGGTAGGGAGGTGTAATGGGATTACGTAATTTCATGTACTTGCTCATAAAAACAACCAGGAATGTGAAAGGCAATCAATGACCTCACCCAAAGTGTTTACGACTAGAATACCACTCTTATTCGTGAGGTCCATATCATATCAAGGGCGCCTGCATGCCACGCGCTGCTCAATTCAAAGGACGCCGCCTCCGTATATATAGAGGCCAGGGGCCAAATGCACATTAGATGTACCAGAGCCGCCATGATCGAGCGAGCCGCTTATGCACCAGCCATTACACACAACTTCCATGGAGATTATCGACTACTGTCGACTACTGCTAGTCAACTCACGACGCTGCAATTCACCACGACTATATTAATTATTATTGGTTTTAATAAATTACAATTGATTTATATTTAAATTGACTATATTTTATTGTAAAAGTGCAACAGCTTTTGGATCCCTGGAGGGCCGTACGTAAGTTGTTGTCGTTAGAAAGGACCTCTATTGTATGAGCAACTTGTAGTTCTTCTTCAGTTTTTAATTTTTCTATTATGTTTGCAGGAAGTAATGAAATGTTAAGCCAATTTTAGAGGGTGTACCAAACATCGCTTCATATTGTGAATGTTTTGTTACATGGTGGTATGCACGATTTTTCATTAATTGTACGAATCTTAATCCATTGCTCCATTTTTTTGTTTTGTTATCTTGAAGCCATGTTGCAAGCATATTTTCTATATTTTGGTTTGCTCTTTCAACTGATCCCTGGCTTTGAGAGTGTCTTGGCTTACCGTGAACTATTTTCAAATCCTTCCACATAGTATAAAGTTTAGATATTATTTTATTAACGAATTCACGTCCGTTATCACTTTGTAATATAGCGGGTCCACCAAAAAAGGGTAAATATATCCAATAAAACGTTAGTGCTTCGGCACTTTTATGTCTTAGAGGCCTAAGTATAACAAATTTTGTCAAATGATCTTGGTAGACACATATAAATTTATAATCTCCATCTGGTTGCGCTTGCATATCAATAAGGTCTATTTGACATCCCGAATTCATTTCCGAAGAAATAATTGGTTTAACCACCAATCCTTTTTTAACTGTACTTCCTTTTCTCTCACACGACTCACAAAAATTTAAATATGACGTTATTGTTTCTCTGGTTATATTTTTAAATTTTATATTTATTTCGTACTCCATGCGATTTCTACCACCGCGCCCAATAGATAAATGTGTGTCATGTAAAATGTTAAATAACTCTTCATTATAAGCATATCATTTTACACAATTACCTTCTGCAGTTATTGGCATAATTAATTTTTCGTCTCCGAGTACAGTCATTACGTCGTATTTCTTCATCAATTTTGAATTTATTTTCTTCTCTAGCTTAAGTTGTTTTAAATAATTAATTATCTCATCATATTTAGATTAACAAATAAAAGTACTGTTAGATTTTTTCGTTTCGATAACTTTTTTTCAAATGTTTGTTAAATTTGGATTCAATTTTCATCACACGCGTACAAAATAGTAGGTAACGAAGTATAATATACTAATAGTGTCGTACTGTCGTGTGGAGGACACATACTAGTTGCGAACGAATTATTCAGGTTAGGAATTATAATATAACAATTGCGGACACGAGCTTCGTTGTCATAATAAAAACTACGTTAGTTGTGGACACAAATATTTCCCTTCACCACTTTTTCAGAACTTATGACAATAGCTAAAAAAAAAAATGGTAGGTGGGGTTAAAAATATTTGTGTCTTGCAAAAGAGCAATCGTTATTTTTAAAATGTTGTTGAATTATAGATTGTTTTAATTTTGTGAAAAAAATTGTTTATAAAATATTTATCGTCATTATTAATTATCGTCATAGTTTTTAAAACAGCCTGTATATATGATATTCTACTGATTTCACCAAGTGAATATTGTAACATTATCCGCAATTAGTATCTTATATTTGTGTCCGCAATTCGTATGTTACCTTTTTAGATTTCGTCCGCAACTCACATGGTTTTTGTCACTTTGTCCGCAATTCGGAAACACCTCTTGTGAAGGGTTCCACGTCATTTGATCCGGTAAATAAAACCCACCAAAAACATATATGTAAAATGAGAGCCAAGTTCAATACTATAATATATGCCTTGGTTGTTGACTTCAACGACAAAAGAAGTGAGATCTAAATGGGTGCCAAGTTAGGATAATATATTGAAGCCTAAGGTGTGACTTGGCTACTTTTCATATACGAATTATTATTATAAGTAGGTACCTACTAAAACAGTAATGGAAGAGTGAAGATGATTTTCCAAAGAATAAAATAAGAACTCAAAGCTTTACTGCTTTAGAACTTGCAAATGCTATAATATATAATTCGTAGCCAAGTTAGACCTTAGGCTTCAATATATTATCCTAACTTGGCACCCATTTAGATCTCACTTCTTTTGTCGTTGAAGTCAACAACCAAGGCATATATTATAGTATTGAACTTGGCTCTCATTTTACATATATGTTTTTGGTGGGATATCATTACTTTTTGTATGTAAATTATTATAACCTAACCTAACCTAGCCATGACGTATTCTATAAATAAAGTTTATTACTATATAATATAATTCAGTTACTAATATTAATAATAATATTTATTATAAAATATTTTCCGTTGTATATACAGAGTATAAAATATATGTAAAATTAATATACAATTATTTTAACTCTTTTTGAGTATATTTTTAATTATCATAATTTTATTGACTGTAGTTTCTACTGTTGGGTGGATAATTCATAATTTGTAAGAATAATTATTTAATTATTTTAATTGTGATATTTATAAAAAAAAAAAATATTAATTACATACATAGATAGAAAAAAAGTATGTTGCTGCTCGCGGGTCGACAATATCGACACATATTCGGCTAGTCGTATTTTTGGAGCGGCGATACGGGAAAGGTTATTTAAGTCAACATTACATTACATTAAATTAGAGGCAATTCATTAATAAATTGAAAAATTAAACATAATAGATAAAATAATTGCAAAATTATAATAAAATCAATTGATTAAAAAATTAAAAATTAAAAAATTTTAAATTAAAAATTTTCAAGTTTCTGATTTTTTCCTTTGTATTTACCTAACTACCTATCTGTATGCCAAATTTGAACTTTCTAGGTCATCTGTAACTGGGTTAGAATTTTGATCTATAGGTAAGTCAGTGATAAAAATGACGATTTTCGGACGTTAATATCTAAATAACGGTTTGAAGTATGTTTATGAAATTTAGAGCACATTTGTATCTCGTTAGTCTCAATATATGAGCCAAATTTGACATGTTTATGTGGAATAGCTTTTGAGTTATGAGGGGGTCAAAAGTGGCTCCAAATGGTTCGTGTAATATTACACACGGTGCTGCTCGCCAGTTCTGTTAGCTAGAACTTGGCTTGACACGCTACCGCGTGTCTAGATCCGGCGACAAAAGATCCGCGACATTTGGTCCGGTGAAAAAATATCCGATATTTTATTTTTTATTTTTTTAATTATTTAATTAGTTAATACATTTAATAAATAATAATTTTATTTTTAATAGTAACACAAATAAATTTAATATTATAATCGAACGTTTTTTAAAAACATGTTTATATTTAAGTAAAAGTTTAGTAAAAATAAAAAAGAAGTAGAAATATCTCTATAAGTCTTTAAATATTATATTATATTATATTATATTATATTTTTCATTATTATAAGAATAGTACAGACAGAAAAAATATCGATCAATCTTATCTGTACTACTTTATAATTTATGTACCTATGTGAACAATCTTATCATATTTAGTGTGTGTTCTGTAATCTGTATAGGTACATATATATATATGCATATATTCGATAATAGTCCTCATAATTTTGTACAGTATACTGGGATTTTTCTTAGTGTTTATTGTGAATGTCCATACGATACAAATTTCTTTGCGCGTGGTTTTTATAAGTTTGAATGATAAAACTAAAATTTATTAAAAGCCAAAAAGGCAAAAATATGTTGGTGTATAACGGTTTTCTGTACTGCAAGCATGAAGTGTACGAAAATAAAATTGTAGGGCGTTGCTCTGATTATAAAAAAATTGCATGCAAAAGCCGATGTCACACTACATCAGAAGATGAATCAGGTAATTAAAATAACTTATTAGTTAAAAAACTATTTAGTAAAAAACTATTTGTTTATTCACTTTATTCATAGGCGAGATTATAAAACACACTGACCATTCACATACTCAAAATGCAGCAAAATCTGAGGCTAAGGAACTAATTAATGAAATAAAGAAAAGTGCTGAAAATGGACAATTTCCAACTAGAATCATCATCTCAACTAAGTTAGGTGAAGCTTCTGCTTCAGTAATTAATTGGCCAACTTCCTACTATTAAATCGATGTCGAGAACAATTCAACGGACAAGAATAACTAAAGAAAATCCTCCAGTAAATCCTAGTAACGCTAAAGATCTTCTAATACCAGAAATATATAAATTTACAAACAAAAATGAACTTTTCCTATCATATGATAGTGGAAATAATGAAAATATAATTTTAATTTTTACAACTAAATCTAATCTAAACTTGCTTCAAGAATCGGATAATTGGTTAGGTGACGGAACTTTCAAAACAGTTCCGTCAATATTTTCGCAGTTATATACTATACATAGTTATACAAGTGATTGTGTTGTTCCATTAGTTTATATCTTGATGACTAACCGTACAAAAAATAGTTACATTGAAGTTCTAAAACAGTTGTTAATATTAAATCAACAACTTAACCCATTATCGATCCGCATAGACTTTGAGCAACCATTTATTTCTGCATTTGGCGAAATATTTCCTAATTCAGTAATAAAAGGATGTTTTTTTCCATTTTGGACAATGTGTTTGGCGTAAAATACAGACTAATGGTCTACAAAAAAAATATAGAAAAGATTCTTCATTTGCGCTCCAAATAAAACACTTGTGTGCTTTGGCTTTTATTCCGGTTCAAGATGTACCAAATATTTTTGAAGAACTTTTGAATTCCCAATATTTTGTTGATAATGAAGAAGTTCTTCAACCAATAATAGATTATTTCAAAGAAACATGGATTGGGCGTACAGTTCGTAGAAGGAGAAAAAATCCAATGTTCCCCTTAGAAATGTGGAACTGTTACAATGATGTAGTTATGGATTTCCCTCGGACTACTAACGCTGTTGAGGGTTGGCATCATGCTTTTAATACAAGTTTGGGATCTCACCATACCACGATATGGAAATTTATCAACTTCTTGAAGAAAGAACAAGGGCTGCAAGAGGCAAAAATCGAGAAAATTAATTTAGGTGAGATTAATCCAACCAAAAAACGTAAATATAAGGACCTTGACAAACGTTTAAAAAATGTTGTACAAAATTATTATTATACCAATTTGCTAAATTATTTAAAAGGCATCGCTCATAATTTTAATTTTTAATTTTATAATTTAAAGACTTATAGAGATATTTCTACTTATTTTTTATTTTTACTAAACTTTTACTTAAATATAAACATGTTTTTAAAAAACGTTCGATTATAATATTATTTATTAAATGTATTAACTAATTAAATTATTTAAAAAATGAAAAATAAATTATCGGATATTTTTTCACCGGACCAAATGTCGCGGATCTTTTGTCGCCGAATATTATTTACCGGATCAAAAGATTACATGAAAACCTTAAAAAAAAAATTAGAAAACACGAAAAACCATTGCAACAAGTAATAAAACGTTATAACGAAGAGCAAAATAATTTCCAAACCACCATCCATCCAAATAAAATTAATTTAACATATCACATTCATCTGGACCATTAATTGATGAAAATGATTTAATTGGTTAATTAAAAATGTTTTTAAAAAAATTATTTTTTTTACTCTAAATTATCACAATACAGCTATACCAATAATACATTCATGATTCATCAGTTTAAAATTTATATAGAATCAATATACATCTTCTTTTCCTTCGCCTTCTCTCCCGACTATTTGTCATTCTCATATTGCACTCTATAACTTCAAACCATATGTTTTCCGGTCTTCCCCTTCCTCTTTTTCCATCCACACTTATGTTCTTCGTCACTGAAACTGTCTCAGTTTTTTCTCTTAAAACATATCCTAGCCATCTCATCCTATTCTCATGAATTTTATCAACTATTGAAGCCATTCCTATACTCATTTCTTATTCTGTCCTTTCTCGTCACTTCACTCATCTACCTTAACATTCTCATCTCCACAACACTCATTTTCCTCTCCATTGTTTTATCTATAGCCCAACATTCAGAATCAATTGATTAATATTAATATATATGTATATTAATATACATCTGTAGGATAAAATACCAACTAGCAAGTAATATATAATATATAGGTAGCTAAACTGATTATTAATAAAGATACCTTTTACTTAATTTGAGATTTGTTTTATTTTTGTGTAGCTATTCTCTACAATGTATACAGTCGTGAATTTTGATGAGGACAACATAGTGTAAGCAGTCCCAAGTTATTGGTTTTCAGAAGACCAGTGTGCCTGGCTAATATTAAGAAGCAACATTAAACGATTTATAGAGAAAAAAGTAAAACCAAATGATTTATAATTTTTTATGTTAAAGGCTAGAAAATTATGTGGTGAAATAAGTAAGTTAAGAACTACAATTTTACTTTTCAGAAAAAATTAAAATATAAATTATTATTAAGGTTCTTTATCAGATGCAAAACAATAAGCAACAAAAGCAACATGCACATCTAATTTATCTGGTGATGATATTATGGCAACTAGAATGAAAAAGAAACATTTAAAAAACACTATTAGTGACCCACCTATATTTAAAAATAATGGTATAAACCAGACTTTAAAAACAAATGTTTAAATAATTAAATCATTATTTGTGTCTTATACATTTTTTTTAAACAGATATTAACAAAAATCATTCCTATAAGTATAGTGATAATTTGTATACATTACAGACCAAATGATGACGTTAGTATCCACAATTATCAAGAAGAGTAGTATATATTTGTATGTTCTGCGTCCATTTTTACAGGGGAAAAAAAAAAGTTCAAGGGGGAAAGTCTCCCTTACAGTACTTTTGACCACCGCGTAGCCAAAATCTCAAAAACCCTAATGTATGTTCTGCGTCCATTTTTACAGGGGAAAAAAAAAGTTCAAGGGGGAAAGTCTCCCTTACAGTACTTTTGATCACCGTGTGAGATTTCTTCATTTTCAAGCGGACATTTCTACATGCTCCACCGTGTAACACAAAATCTCAAAAGTGTGATTTCTTAAATATTTTATGTAACCGCATGTAACACACCACCGTGTAACACATCACAGAACTGTGTATAGTTAGTTATATAATTTGTTACACAAACAAAATATTTATATATTTTTTCTTTTAGTTTAGTAGTAAAAATAATTTAAGAAAATATATATTATTTATTAAATATTATTTTATTTACAAATACAATTATATATTAATTTTAAAAAATTATTTACACAAGTTTTCTTACTTCTCTAGTAAAAGGTACATATTCTACAATACGATCATGAATTAATAAACAATAAGCAGTTACACCTGTAAGCGATTCTGATGCTTCAATTTCTAATTGAACATCTACTGCTGAGGCTGTGGCTGAATCGTTCTGCTTCGAAGTATCAATGACTATAATTGGAGCATTTGATAGAAAAGTGGATGGACTCAATATCGGGTTCCGTATATTTTTTTCATAGTACGATTCTTGAAACGATGTATACATATTATATAATAAGGTGAAGTTATTTTTAGTAAAATCTAAATTCAAATTATCGTATGGATAAGCTATCGAGTTCAGAAATACTTTAACGTTTGTTAAATTACAATGATCAAATATACTACAATCTTTTGTTAGCAAATTTTTGCGTCCTTTTTGTAATCCAATTATGATAAATCGTGGTTTTTCTAATTTTGAAGCAGTTTTCAAATTCCATACAACTTTTTTAGTGGTTCCGAGTTCAGGATATTCATAAGTTTCAAAAGATCTAAAAGGGATAAATAGACTTTTTTCTTTTTCTATAAGTTTCAATAATTTTAACCTTTCTTCATCGTCAACCGTTATATGTGGGACCTTCCAGACTATTTTATTTAAGGTGATTTTACCTTCAGTAGCAGTTGCACCACTTTTAACTTGTAAAGCATTTAAATCACTATGACTTCGGGTTAATATTAATTCCAATCTAGAATTCACTAATATTCTTTTATAGTCTTCAAACAATCCTAACCAATATTTCAATGGTATGCAAGCACTAAATTCACCTTTTTCATTTTCCGATTGCGTTGCGTTTTTAAAATTCCAGCCAGCATTTTCATAACAATTGTAGTTATCTGGCGTGCCGGATAAGTAACCTTTCAACGAGCTGGTGATTCCAAGAACACGTGTGCCATCTACTTCTATCCCATTGATTTCCAATCGTATTTGTTCGAAGAGGTAAGAGTAACCGTTATTAGTTAGTTTCACTTTGGTAGCATCAGTAATTGTTCCTTCCAAAAAAATAAAGCTTTCGTGTAGATATGGGTAGACATCCGTTTGCTGGATTGATATACGTATTTCATCATTATTATTAAATGACGTAGTATACGGTGAGTATGAATGATATTCAATTTTCGTAATTTTAGAATCCGTCTCGTACTGTGAAGTTATATCTAAAATATCACTCTCAGGCATTCTGCTTTAATTGATAACCCAGAGCTTGTAAAATTTTTTTATTTTTTACCGTTAATTTTTTTATCTTATTTGATGTTGCTGGTAGCACTTTAGTCTTATGACTAGTTGTGCTGATCCGAAGTAGCGGGTTTATATTGAATTTCAACCCCATCTCAAGACCCGTAACGGTTAATATGTAACACGATTGTTAATGCCTCACCAAAATTATCAATCGGATTATGATCTTGATCAACTAACTGAACGGTTATCGAATCAATATTTGTTTTATTCAATTTGTAATATATTAAATTTGGCGGTGCCTGAATTACTTTCGACCCTGTCTTTCCACTCGGGAAAAACTCATAAATTGAATGACTCTGAAGATGGTTGCTGAATGATCCTTGAGCTATATTACACATTACTTTTATAGAATTAATTGTGTTTAAATTTACAGCTTTTTCCGATCGAAGAATGTTGTATGGATTATATACTCGTTTTTCAAAACCGAATACAGGTGCTATACTAAATGGATATTCAAAGTGTAGTATCCCATTACATTTTATATACGATCTGAAATCATCAGGATCAACCGTAATGTCGAATGTTAAATTGGTTAAGTTTTTACTATTATAGGCAACTATTTGCTTCTTAACTCGATCCTTAATATCTTCAATTTCATAACAACCCTCTTCCA